TGGCCTGCTGGGTGCTAGTCTACGTTGACGACCTAAACTCTGCCAGCAGCAGTGCAACGATGCTGAAGGAGCTAAAGGAGCTGCTGGAGGCCGCTTTCGAGCTGTGCGAGATATCGCTGGTGCTGAAGTACCTCGGGCTGGAGATCGTGCGCGACAGGCCGGCGAGGAAGCTTTGGCTGCACCAGCAGGGCTACGCCGACAAGCTGAGTAGGTGGTTTATCGACGAGAAACAGACCGAGCGCACCCCGAAGACGCCGGTCTCGGTCGACGCCTACACCGAGCTGACGTTCGACGATGAGGAGGCGCAGGAGCGTCAGGACGAGGAGTACCGGCAGAAGGTCGGCTCGCTGTAGTTCGTGGCGACGACGATGAGGGCGGACATCGCCTTTGCCTACAGCAAGTTGGGGAGCGGCCTCACGATGAGGAGCGACCAGCACTGGCGCGAGGTCGACCGCTGCCTCGCCTACCTCGCTAACACGCGTGATACCGCCCTGGAGTTTGGCGGTGGACCTGAGTTGATGAAGCTGGCCGGCTACGTGGACGCTGACGATGTGGGCGACAAGCAGATTTGGACGAGCATGGGCGGCTACGTGTTCGTCTACGGAGGGGCTACAGTCTCGTGGTCGAGCCAACGCATCATGTGTGCGACGCTGTCGTCGACCGAGTCGGAGTACATGGCTGCAACATAAGCCGGCAAGGAGGGACTCCGTCTTTGCTTCCTCAATGCAGGGTTCCGGCAGCTGGATGCCGGGAAGCCAACGGTCCTTCGGGTGGACAACAAGTCGGCCATCACGGTCGCCGAGGGAATGGGGTTGACTGACAACCTCAAGCACATGGAGCGGCACGACAGGCCTGGCAGCAGCACATGGTGAAGCGCGGGAAGTTTTCGCTGAAGTCCATCCCACCCGCTGAGTAGCCGGCCGAGTTCCTGACGAAGGCGCTGCACTATCCGGCCTTCAACCAGTGCTCCGTCACAATCGGCCAAGTGCGCCTGACCGACGTGGGCGACGGCGACGACGACATGCAACAGTAGGTGCCATGCCCTCTTGCATGGCTGGTGCGATGACCGGCGTGCTGTGTGTGGGGTGCACGCCGACGAGCTATTCTCCGAGCAGTGCTGCCGTGCGGGATTGGGGGCCCAAGCGTGAACACGGCAGGGGAGTGTCAATGGGAGTTGTGTTGGCCCCGTCCTCGCTTGGGCGGAGCCGACCTTGTGGTCGGGTGTACGGGGGAGTGCAGCTGACCTGTAGCAGTGGGCGAGCTGGTCGACGAGGAGGTCGACCTGCACGGGGGCCACTGCGATGGGTGCCGACTTCGGGGCGCCTAGTGTGGGGTGGTCGATCTGGCGAGGTCGACCTGGCAGGGCGCCGACTTCAGGGCGCCGACCTTGGGTGGCCAACGACTTGGCGAAGTCGGCGGCCTAGTCCCGAAGTGTCCGACGAGGGGACACCGACCAAGGAGGACGCCGACCTGATGGCATCGACCTGGTTGCCTGGTCGACCGTGCTACGCTTCAAGTTGACCAGAGGCTTTGCTAGCTCTGATGTAGTCTTGCATGCCAATGTTGTTGCTATCATCGTTCTCAACTTTTGCTAGTGAATCTCTTGCGATTTTGCCCCGTGAATGAGTAAGTGCTAGAGAATGACTAAGGACCAAACGCAGAGATCACACGAGCACCCGTGCCTAGCCCGTAGTCTAGCTCCCATTGCTTTAGTTATCTCCGCACTCCCGACACAAGGCAATCATGGCCTTATTGTCGACGTACAGAACTGGAGGAGAACAGGCCGCTCACCCAAGTTGGCCAGCAGGTAGGTCAAGCATAGCCCCAGCGTAGATATCGGCCTCACAGCTGGACCCTAGCACAAAAGACGAACGAGTGGACCTCCACGAGACAGAACCAGAGCCGAGACTGAAAGAGTTTTCCCTATGACGATCGCCGAGTCGCCTGGTCGTCCGCCTAAGAAGCGTCGGAGTGTCCTGCGAGTACCATTGGACCCTGTCCTCCAAGCACGAGCCCAATTCCTGATGTACTGCACAAGTAACGCAGTACCCTCTGCGCAACTGTCCAGTGCTCCTTCCTGTGTCGCCCGAGCGCGACGAAGCGAGCAAGTATGCTGAGAGGGTACGCGAGGTTTGGTCGTGTGCACGTGATACGGTATATGAGGCAGCACACAAGCTCTAGATACGGGCCACTCGGCTCAACGCATTCGTCCGAAGATGGAGCTGAGAGCGAGTGGCCTGTAGGAAGAGGAATGCGTTGTTGCGAGGAGAACTGAAAGCAGAAGCGTTGAAGGACCTGCTGCACCATGTGTGAGTGAGTCACAGTGATGGTACGCCTTGCTCTGTCCCGGGTGATCTGCAAGTCAAGATAGCTCCGCAGCTCACCCAGGTCAGTACAAGTGTGTCTCTTCTGCAGCTCCGTCTTCACAAGGGTCAGCGCCTCAGTATCGGCAGTAACAACGACCAAGTTGTCGACGTATACGAGGATGTAGAACGGCGGTAGAGTAGGGTCGGTGCGCATAAACATCGAAGAGTTAGCAGTCGAAGGAGCAAACCCAAGCTGCAAGTGTCGTCCTCGGTGTGTCGTGCCACTTGCAGCGGGGCGCCTGGCAGAGACCGTAGACTGGCTGCCGGAGGCTCCACTGGGTACCCTCAGAAAACGACTCAATGAAGCCAGGTGGGCGGCGCAGCCAGATCTTTCGTGAAGGCTGCTCTGCAAAAATGATGTGGAGAAGTCGAGGGAGTGCAGCTCGTAGTCACGCTGCGCTGCAACGTGCAGTAACACCCGAAGAGTTGTCATCTTTGGGGTGGGGGAGAAGGTCTGGAAGATGTCGACCCCCTGTCGCTGACTGAAGCCTCGAGCAACGTAACGCGCCTTGAAGACATGCGGAGAACCTGGTGACCACTTCACTCTGAAAATCCACATGCCATCGACTATGTTCGCCCCAGGAGGGGGAACCTTGTCGACGTAGGTGCCTGTGGACTTTCAAGAAGCCATCTGTAAGTCCATGGCTATCTGCCACTGAGAGGAATACTCACCCGTGATTGCCTCTGAGTGAGTGCGCGGGGTCGGGATGTCTAGTGCATTCGGGTCTCCCTCAGGGCAAAGCAGCACGGACGCGGAACGAGGTAAAGCGACCGCCAAATACTCAAGCTCAAACTGCTTGTCCTCATGGACGTCACTGCTAAGGGCAAGCTCACCCCCGACGGATGGAGGACAGACAAACTCAGACTCAGTCACCAGAGTCGCGACGTAGTCGAGACGACAGGTAGCAGCAAAGTCGACTAGCTCAGTGATTAGGGCAAACACAGCAGTAGACTCAAAGGAAGGGTCAGTGACAACAGTGGCAAGGAGGCGAGTGACAGTAGGACTAGCAGCACGAGAAAGGTCGGACTCAGGGCCAGGAACGTCAGGAAGAGAGGATGCTAGAGGAGACGGCACGACAACACGATGTGGAACAGAGGAAGTACGAAAAGCCATGGTGTGCGTGCCGGGGACAGGTGAAGGACGAGGACGACGAGCATGACTGACAGTGCGTACAGTGCGTACTCAATTGCAACACCGATCCTGTACAGGATTGGTGTTTGGGTATACAGTAATTCGCATTGTCGTGTATCCCTTTTTCGTTGTTTGTCTCGAAGACTGAAGACAATACGCTTAGGCGATAGATATTCCAATATTGATCCGTCACCACACTAAAATCAAGCGTATGCATTCTAAACTTACCGAAACGCCTTTTACCCCGCCAAATAGGGAACCTGAGCACGGTCGCGACACATGTGGCTCGGAGGCGATCGATGCTCACAGCTCGGTGTGTGATCCCGATCCTCCCTCGGTGTTGCAATTGTGACGCATCCTTAGTAAATCAATTTGAGTTATTCTTGCCCCCTAAACTACATAGGCTCTGTCCTTGACCATAACAAAGGGATCATTGTAGGCCTACACAACAGGCTGGGAAAACAAAGAAGGCACAGAGAATTGGATTGTCAGTCATGGTAAGAAGGCTGATACATTAGCCAAGCTAAAAAGCATAAGGGTACATTCCTGTGGAGGCACTTGTGTCTCAACCTTTTGTGACGCGTAGGAACAGCATAAAACGTACAATTTCACAAACGCGTGTTGCCCTTGTGCGACCATTACTGTATTTTTCATTGGTCAGCGTGAAACGCGCTGACGTCGCGGACGAGTTGCATATTGACCCATCACTGTCAACGAGTCGTACGCGGTTCAAAATGTCAATGCACCTGGACACCTCACAATGCCAATCGCGCGCGGGAATATAAACCGCTCGTCAAAAACCCACCCGAGCCAGGCGTTTGAAGAAACAGGTGTACAGTCATGTGTGAAATCCAATCATGCCTGGTCGCCAAGTTTCGTGATACATTCATTTTTTGTGACGCGAGATTGCAAAAATGTTTAGACGCGACTCGGGAAAAAGGGGATTGAGACACAAGTGTCTCCACAGGAATGTACCCTAAGTACCACATGTTTTTACAAAGAAAGAGTGGAAAAAGACACAGAATCAGTGGAAAGAGGCAAAAATACCAGGGCCTGGTTCAAATTAATATGAGGTGGCAAGTAATCATGGTACACAAATGAACTTGGACCCTACACTCCCAACACACTTCTTCTCATTGTACACATAATATTTTGAAATCGCTCCATTTGCAGCTCCACCATAGAAGCTGTAAGCACCCGAGCATGTCAATGATGGTGACACTGGCTTTTGCCTGCCCTTCTTGCATATGCCAACAACGAATGGCCAATATTCCGCTCTTAGGCAAATCTGCATTGGCGGCATTTGCAAAGACATCCCACGAAAGGAACATGTACTAAGGCATAGATAGGCATGAGCAGAACACCTTCTCAACGAACATAAAGGGCTAATACTTGGAAAAAAAAAACTTTTACTTTGGCATATCAGGAATGACCGCTTGCCCACTCACCCATGAAATGCACGTTTAGTCCACAAGTTTCCTCTCCATTTTCCCTCCCATGTCTTACTCACCCCATCCCGGTTCCCCTCCAACCCTCACCTGCACGCCAGTGTTGCTGCCAACAGCGGATGCGGAGGCTGGGACGACATTCGAGCAGATGAGGCCGGGATTGTTGCGGTCCAGCTCAGCCCAGCGCATGGCATTCACCTTCCAGGCCCCCGATGGGTCTTCCTCACTCCCCGCCACCTGCTGCAGCAGGCGCTCGCATGTGTCCTGTGCTGTGAGCACACCGTATTGCAAGCACCGAGGCACGGTGAAGGCGAAGGTGGCATTGCGCTCGACGCACAGAGAGCGGCCCGCCTTGATGGGCTCAGAGCAGCCGAGGCCGGGATTGAGAGCCGTGAGGTTGCTGCTGGTGATGCCCAGCTGGGCGCTGATGGACCAGCATGTGTCGCCCTGGAGGGTTGAACCATGGGAGAAGGCACAGATGGCTGAGGTTAATGGAGCGAAAAAAGTACTATGGGCACGGTGGAGTTGACAAGACAGCCTTGCTGTGTTGACGCAGAAAAGAAGTGAGGGGATTAGGAAACAGAGGGACAAAAAATGGCTAACGGTCACGAGGAGGGTGGTGAAGAAAGCGCTGGGGGTTAAACAAGAGGAGAATGGCTGTACTGTGCACAATGCTGAAATAGGCTGGGTTGGCAAGGGAGTCTTGCTGAGGTAAGCAATGTGGAGTGGAGAAACAAGGAAACGAAGGAATAACTTGATGGGATTCAATAGAACCAAGAAAACCATCAAGGGCGACAGCTCACACTGAGGGTGTAGAAGAATGCGGTGCAGGGAACGAGGAGAAAACTTCCCAGCTGAAGCATGAGGTTACGAGGCAAAGGACGACTGCAGTCAATGGCCTGCAACGAGGAGCACACACAATTTGCGTTGAGAATTTGATGATCTAGAGTTTAGCCAAGTTAGGATCCTGCGGAGTTATATCTCCATTTGATTCAGCCAAAAGCTTTGATAATATTCCATGCAACGATGATTCAGGTTTCTTCTGATCTACCACATGCTCTGCCCTGCCTCTCATCTCCCTTAGCCTCTCCATCTCCACTACTTACCGCATTCTGCTGCGCAAATTGGGCAAGTGAGAGCCCCACAAGAGGAAGGACATCGGAGCACCACCAGTTGCTCCCACTCACTGCCATGGTGTTGGCTGTGACGTTGGCTGGAATGGTGAGAATGTGGAACAAGGGAACAGAAGGGATTTAACAAACAGAGGCCATGGGAACTCCAAATGATGATACAAGAACTACCAAAGCAATGGCGGCAGCACCTGGATCGCAGGTGGGGAAGTTGTCAATCGTTGTGCTTTCAACGTAGTTGGGAGGGCAGATGCAGGAGTAGGAGCCCTTGCCGTCATTGATGCATGTGCCCACGTAGCAGGGGTTCTTCAAGTCAGCGCCACACACGTCCACTGGCAAGCAACACAGGCGTGAAGAAAAATGGTGAAACCAGAGCGAGACACGAGTGTTTAGGGTTTACGAGAGAGCGGAGGGAGGGAGGGGGAGAACAGTGAATACGCCTTTGTTCTGACAATGGCCGTGTTTTCACAACGGCCATTCTTCTAACAACAGCCATGGATCGACATTCTAACAACTTACAGTAAGCACATGTTTGGTAGCCGTATCCGTTTGCAACTTCAACAAATGGCTGACTGGCTTCATTCGGAATGGTGCAGTTGCACGAGTTGCTGTTGCTGCGTAGGTTAGCCCGGCATGAGAAGCGCCCACACGGGTTCATGCTGGGCTGCAGTGCGCCATTACCCTTGAAGCAAGGGTCCTTGGGGACTGGAGGGAGTTACATGCGAGAACAGGATGAGTAGAAACATGTGCACTAGAAGTTACACTGAGAACGACTCTGAAAAGGCAATAATAGTCGGTAATTGACCAACCTACAGACGTGGACAACACTGCCTCACACTCTCTTCTCTCTGTTGACGATGCCTTCACTCCATCCACCCTACTCCACAAACCAAACGTGGAGCGATCCTCTGGACTCATTAAGGTTGGTTTGACGCTTGACCCTGGCTCACTGTCAAACATAGTTGACACTGTGAGTACTCAAAGGGGGGGATGGAGATGTGGAGAATGATGGAGGAAGTTGCCTCACTCAAGACCAAAAGTTAGACGCCTCACTCTTCACAATGGGGTAGATGCCAGGCAGCACGTTGATGCCACACACACCATCCCCTCCCTGGATGTCCATGCGCATGTGGCCTCGGTCACCCCACTCCACTCCCCACGAGTTCCGGACTATCCAAAGTGGAGGCGCAATGCGATTTTGGCTGCCGTCATTTCTCAAGACGAAGTACCCAACAACGAGTACAACATGGTTCAGTCTGCCGGTATAGCATCCAGGATCCTGGTACTTGAAGGTCTGAACAGACATAAGGACACCACGACAGGAAGAATAATGGGTGTTGTTGAGGCATAAAGCTCAATGCAGGCAAAACGTTTGTACAACTTCTTACTCGAATGTACAGCATGTAGGATCAATGCAAGCAACACCCACCCCGTCATATTGTGCAAACGCTAGAGCAGAAGCCTCGATATGAACCACCACTGGCTGTCGTTGCACTGCCAGCATGAGCCCCACAAACCCCTTGAACCGCGTGCGCTGAAAGCCGTGCACAGGGTACTCCTTTTTCTGAAGAGTGGTAAACAGGAATCTAAAAAACATTCAGTAAAGAGGAGACATAAGACACAAAGAGGCCGTGATGGAACACTTAAGCTTGACTGCTAAAATTGCATGCGAAATTTGAGACTGGCCTAGTTCATCTGTATTTCAAAATGCAATTTCAGCCATTGACAGTGGCTGCAACGACCGACTATTGAGCTCACAAAAGAGTTCCACCCCATGCCACCAGTTGTAGTATACGTGCAACTCTCTTAATATCAGCCCCCCATACGAAGTTTCGAGTTTTCAGATATTACCAGCTATCCCTTCTTGCCTTCCATTTAGCTGCACTACTCACAGGCGATCCAACTTCTGTGACTCCACGAGGCAGCATGAGAAGCCTTTCAAATGCCTCGGTGGGGGAGCCCCCCGTGATGCACTTGTCAGCTTCGGAGGTGAGCCCCATGGCTGCAAAGAGTGACTCCACTGACAGCTGTGGCGCCTCTGCATTCAATGCAATGCCGTATGCCGCTTCCACGCTCGCCACCAGCGCAAAAGCCCAACAAGCACCTGGTAATAACGAAATATTTTCGTGAATAATTAAAGGTGATGTGCTGATGGAAACACGATGGAAACACATATTGAGCGAGTATTGTGCGATATATTAAAGATGAAAGTGACCAGCAACGGAAAACATGCGGACTGTAGCAGCCAAACAAGATACACCAGCCAAGCGATTGGCTCCAGCATGCCTCTTCAGGTTCCCCAGTGGTTTCACTCACTGCACTCTTTCTGGTCCTTTACAGGCCAGCCAAGGAAGGGCACGGCATCCCAAGAGTGGAAGTCGCTGATGACCCACGAGTCCTGCTTGCTGGGCGCCACTCGGTAGTCCGCACTCACGTAGCGCAGGAAGGGGCTGGCCCATGCTGGCATGTACGTGTTCGTTGATAGCTGCAGGCCATAGGCTGTGACGTGCTCAGAAGTTGATTTTCGGAGAAAGGAATGGGATGTGAAAGAGACAAGTTGTTACAAGGGAGAACTTGAAGGGGGGTGATCAGTACAATGGGCTGCAGTGCATTGCCCTTAGATTGCTGGGCTGCACCTCATATCTGGTTACATTTGCACCTCATGGGGCCATTTCTCATGTATTGCACATTCACTTCACCAAACAAGCACTCCGTTCAGTGCTGAAGCAACTATATTAATACCTCGCTCATGCGCGGTACAGGCCTCTCATCAGAAAATAGTTTACCTAAATCGGTACACTAGTTGCTCGGCTTTTCCTTTTCCACTTTGGGATTAGTTTGCTTGGGATGAGTTTGTTTGGGTTTATTTTGCTTGTGTTCGCTTGGGATCAGCTTGGGATCAATTTGCTTGGGATCAGTTTTCTAAGGATCAGTATGCTTAGGATCACTTTGCACCGTGATGTGCACCATGTACCACATTGTGTAGGTTATTCTTAAATCTTGCACCTAACCTGCTGAATGCATATATTTATTACTAAGAAACTCAAAAATCAAAACCAAAAAATAAAACATGGTAAGAAGGCAAGGTGGAAAATTGCGCTGAGTGAAATTTTCGAACCGAAATTTTCGATCGAAATTTTCGGCCGTTTTTGTAATATTTCGGCGAAATTTTAATAGACTTAAAAAAAAAAGACAGATCCGCCCCAGATTTGATGGCGAAATGCCAGATCCGCCCTAGATCTGATGGCGAAATGCCAGATCCGCCCTAGATCTGATGGCGAAATGCCAAATCCGCCCTAGATCTGATGGCGAAATGCCAGATCCGCCCTAGATTTGATGGCGAAATGCCAGATCCGCCCTAGATTTGATGGCGAAATGCCAGATCCGCCTAGATCTGGTGGCAAAATGCCATTAGAATGTCCAACCGAATTTTTTATGGGAGGGGGACCGAAATTATGGATTTTTTCGGTCGAAATATTCGATAGCGAAATTTTCGACCAAAATATGAAAAATTCGGCGACATTTTGCACCCTGTAAGAAGGAGGGTGAAGCACACATGAGGGCACAGATCCGTACAGATTATACAAATGGTCATAACAGTCAGTCAGTCACAACGCTTGCCTCTTTTGTCCTTCTAACAAAGGTGGTTGCAAGAGTTGCAACAGAAGCATGGGAGACGATGTCTCACCTGGATTACGTGAGACTGTTCGGGGAGAAGCAGGAAGGCCTGGGAAAAAAAAAACAATCAGAGCGAAGAACGAAGCTGGCGTGTAAGATTCAGAAAATGTGTGACTCATATCTACAGTCACTTTCAGATTGCATGTATAAGACAAACCGTCCATCAGTACCCTCACGAGCACCAGCACTACCTTCATCGTCACGATGCTTAACATCTGCATCCCACAGTCACGTTGCCAAGTGTTTAACATCTTCTAGACCGGACATTAGGTATTGTTAACCACCCTGCCAAGTTCATCCTTCTAACAGCACACTCTGCTTACCTGTGTCCACTGCAGACTCAAGAATGACATGCCGCTGAAACGGCTTCACAGTGGTGGACGCCACGAAGCCAAAGAAGAAGGCGGGCTGCTCGGCTGCACCCTGCAGCACCTCACACAGCGCCAGCCTCCTCTCCAGCAGTGCCTCCTGCGGCTTCTCCTGCGAGTCAGCCAAGAAGACCTGGATGGTGCCGGGGTCCCCCGGCTCATAGTCCACCCACGCCGTGTACGCCTTCCTGCTGCTCAGAGGGAAGGGCGACCTCACAGCGGCTAGCGACTTGTCCTCGCCTCGAATGTTCAGCCCCATGTGCTGGCCGCTCATGTCGCCATGCTCCTTGTTCTGCAGCGTGTCAAACTCAACTGCGATGCTCCGCGTGTCCATTCCACCATACCCCACACCTGCACCACTCCCCACCCGGTCTGTCACGGAGACGACAAAGGCAAAGCCGTTGAAGCCCACGCGGCCGGTTCGAGGGGAGAGGGAGAAGGTGAAGTTGGCGTGGAAGGCGAGCTCCAGCCCACACCCCAAACGTGTCTGCCCTGCCTCGTACACAAACAGCGTCACCGGCGCTGCCGTGAAGTTCCCCCCTGTCTCGCGCTGCGTCCCCTTGGTGAGCACAGACGCTGGCGGGAGAACCGGCTGGCTTCTTGAGTAGTTCTTGTTCTGGCCTGCACAAACATATCAGAGGGACAGACAGGAATGAGATACGCGCAAGTATCTAAGCGAGAATTGATTGAATAGATAAAGGAGCTCAAGGTTCTTAAGAACATGGGTTGGAACAGATGGGCAGGGAATCTTGGGCAATCCCCAATAAGATCGACTGAAATCTTCAATTGGTGGGGTTGAAGATTTTGGTTGATCACATCACATTTGGGCTGGGTTGAGATATTGGTGTAACACCCCTACCACGAAAACTACAACTACAGTGTACTAAGACATACAAACTGCAAGTAAAAACGTGGAATGTAAGTCTCTCTCTAATAATACGAAGGTTGAACAAAATTTCGATCTACAAGCTACTGGAGTCCATGCGAGTTGGACATCCCACCACTTTGTGAATCCGTCTGTGGTCATGTTTCATCGATTTCAAGTGATGTCCCCTACCTTGAGCAACACAGCTGATTTCTCCGAATTGCACAAATCCCGCGTCGCACAGACATGTGGGTGCCAAGCTAGCCCCCTCTGGATAGCACACCCCATGCCCACCACACGCAGCAGCAGCACCAGCAGCAGAGGAGACGCCACAGAATGCATTGCATGCTGCCTCCTGCCGCTGCGGTACCAAGGCACAGCCAAGTGGCACCGTGAAGCAGTTGGCATCAAAAGAGAGAGGCTGGCATGCCCCGTCGGGCAGAGGGCCTGAGAGATAGTTGCTGGAGAGATCCAAGGTGCGTGAAAGAGGCGCCACTGCAGGTCCTGTGAGGTAGTTGTGGGAGAGGCCGCTGCGGTGGGGAGGGGCAGTTGCCGGGAGAAAGACACATGGGGATCACCTCATTGCGACCAGACTTGGAAAAGTGGTTATTAGAGAGAGAAGGTGTGAGGAATTGTTGAGTAGTATGTGTATGGATGATGTGTGGGGAGAAGATGACGGACACAGGAAGGCATAAAAAGGAAAAAAAAGAGTATGAGAAGCGGAGCAGAGGGGGAACAGGAGGTAAATGAGGAGGGAGCAGGCGAAATCCAAATAATCGAATTGACGCATTGAAATGGAGAGGAAAGAATAGAAATATCAGGAAATGGTGGGCTGAGATGGGGGAAGAAGGATGTGAAGAGAGACGAGATGAGGAAGCAACCCAAATGATGTCCAGGTGGAGAATATTTTAAGGCAGCAAGCATGGCAACCACGAGCATTCACGTGGTGATGATGAAGTCAGTTTCCACAAAAAAACCACAGTGCATGCTTGGTTGGCACGTCCCACAATGAGTCACCTGGATTCGAGGTGGCGCACATTCATTCATTTAGTTTTGGGTAGTGTTCGGTGTTCGTTACCCTCACTTGAAGACTTCCACCTCTCTGCTTAAGAATGTTTTTGTTTTCCTGATCTTTGTGACTAGAGGACACGCATGGCACGGATGGTGCTGCTGTTGGCTCGCTCACAGCATGGTTTTGAGAGAACAGCGAGCATGGGTGCGTGACTTGTTGAGTGCGTACGAGAGGGAGAATGCCAGAGCATGCGGAAAGGAGTGAGGTAGTGTGTCGGCCGTACAAGTATGTGAGCTGTGTGATCTTGGTGAGAGTGCTCGGTATGCTCCCATACAGCTCGTTGAAGGCGAGAGACCTGATGGCGATGGTGGGGAGACGGAAGGATGTTAGAGGAGTGATGGGAAGGATGGAAGGATAGAAGGGGAGAATGGGGACAGACGGAGTACCAAGTTGGTTAGGTTAGAGGTGTTTAAGATTGAAGGGCTGAGCTGACATGAACCGTTCTGTGGCCAGAGGCGAGATGGTGATACGGAAGAAAGGCGCAATACTCACATGCTAACATTGACGTGCGAAATTCACTCGCTAGATTTACTTACTAGACTCACGTGTTGAATTCACTTGCAAAATTCACTTGCTAGATTCACTTGCTAAATCCACTTGCTAGTTTCGCTTGCTAAACTCAATTGCTGATTTTTTTTTGCTAATTTCCCTCGTTACTTGGTAAAATTACTTGCTGCCTGGTGAAAGGGTCTCCAGTCGAACATATGACACACGAGGTTCACGCCAATGCCATAGAACAAAGCACCAAGAAGCCACACAGGTCCTCGCACGCTGGACGCTTTGGGTGGAGAAGCATTTTGCAACGATATGATTTCCTATAAATGCCATAGATTGAGAATTGACACTACAAGGTACATGGTGTGAGGGGCATGCTAGCCTCAAGGATAACAAATGAAGTAGTTTTGTTTTGTTTTGTTCTTGTTTTTGTTTTTGTTCATTTTTTTGTGTGTGTTTTTTTTTTTTTTTTTTTTATCCAGAATTGCAGCCGCACATGTAGCATAGTTGGGAAAGTTCCCCAAGAGAGTCAGGAATCCTTCCACTCAAATGATTGCTGCGAAAGGACCTGTGCAATGCACGTTTACATACAGTATACAGAGAAGCCATGCGTGAGAACACTGGTCTAGTAGCACACCCAACACAACAGAAACATGCATACGATGCACAAGAGAGGATGGCAAAGAGAAGATAAGATTGAAGAGAAGGGGTGTGAAAATTGGGCGCCTGAGAGGGGACATTGGTTGCTCAAAAGTAGATAAAGGCAGAACGGGGAATTCGTCGACAGGACGTAAACAATCCTTACAGTTTCACCAACTTCGTCATTGAGCCAATCTCTGCAGGGATAGTGCCAGTGAGCTGATTTTCATAAAAATACCTGAGGTGAATGTGAAGATTTCAAAGTCAGCAGGGCCATGAAAACGAGGTGTAGGTGATCAAAGTTGAGTCATGATGGGCGGCTAAGGAAGGACAATCTATTAAAAAAACGAGGAGACAGAAGAAAATGGGGCAGAAAGAGGTGAAGCCCTGGCAGAAGGCACTCGAAGGGTTGAACAAAGAACCAAATTGCAGTTCGGTTCGGGTTCCACCCAACGGTTTAAGTGGGCCGACCAGGTTAGGTAGGGCAGGACCGGATAACCCTGCACCATCACTGGCTGGCACATGCGGCAGAAGGTGGCCTTTCGATGCGCCAGAAGGTGGCACATCCTTGTCCCCTCCTCTCGCTGCAGCCGATCCCAAACCAATTCGATGCAGGCCGGCTGGAGAAAGGAAATGCCCCAGCTCGGGAAAGTACAAGTTATTACACCTCAGGCTGTAACACAGAACTCGCTTCTGCTCATGCCTAATGGTTACGTTGTACCTGGGCATGTGCGGAACTCGAATTTGAACAGGTTCAGGTTGAACTAGGTCGAACTGCCAAAAGAAGTAGGCCCAACTGGTTCGCTCTAGGCCGACACAACTCACAGTCTGATGTTCAGGTTCTCAAGGTCGCACCTAGAAAGCGTACACGAGCAAAAAAATTCACCGCCAGGTCCGTACAAATCTGGATTCTGTTGCACAGATCTGGCATTTTGCACCCACATCCGTGCGGGTCTGTCTGGCACTACTCAGGTCAGGACAAAACAGGTGCTACAACTCAGGATAAGTAAACACAAACTGAGTGTAGTGAATGGTAGTTCTCACCAATCTATTGGGCTGATGTGAGCACACATTGTGCACTCATATTGCATATCATAGTATTGGCTGACATACACGCTATGCCACTTGCCTACTTGTGTGCGACTTACAAGAGAGTGAGTTGAGCGAGAGCACTGACACTAGCAGGAATGCTGCCTGAAAGCTGGTTCCTTGAAAGATCTCTGAGATTGAAAAGGCAAGCAGCAGGGGCATAGAGAATAATACTCAATTGTAAGCACTATCGTCTTTGTAATCGAGGAACGGAAGGATACTGACCACACGGACCGGAGAGTGCTTATGGAGGAAGGTGAACGTGCTGGAGTAAGCTATAGATCGCTCTGCTATTCATGGCGGCCAATGATTTTCCACTTGCAACTGACGCTCTACACACCAAGCGTTTTGATGCGTATATTTGATGCTTGACGCTCATGTTGGCACTTGGATCGGATTTTTGTTCAACTCACCGGTACAAACAATACTGCGTGTCAGCTCGCGAACTTTGATTTCTGCGCAAATTGTGACCGGTAAACTCCAAATCCCCAGAAATCTGCATTGCTGAATCATACATCCCCAGCTACCAACGTGCTGCCCACGTCCGACCTCTGCGCTTGGCATAAGCAGGCGGTCGAACCTAGTTCAGACCTTCCATTCTGGCCGATCGGCCCAGGTTGGGCCAGGTCAGGTTCGGCCCGGCAAACCGGCAAGGATCGACTTTTGCGGGCTTGTCAGAAATCGAAATGGGCTGGTTCGCCTCAAGTTTCGGCCCAACACAAACCTCCCAGTGGCAAATTTGGCGAGGGTCACGCAATTGCAAGTTGGAGCTCATGATTAGGTGTTTGTGATGCAAGAAAATGTAACGCATCTCCACAGGAATGTACCCTAAGTAGCATGTAAATAGCAAATGAAGAGGAGCAACGAGGAAGGGGTGAAGAAAGAGTAATCAGAATCAAAACCAATGCGTACCCTATATCCTTACATCGCTACCAACTTCGTCAGCAAGCCAATGTCAGCGGGGATTGAGCCGATGAGCTGATTGCTAGCGAGACAACTGTTCAAGATGAAACACAGGTTGAGGGGATGCGAACAAGCTGGACAAACTGGTGAGAAGGTAGGTGTAGGATGGTGGTAGCGGTATGTGATCACAACAGTTAGGGTTCGATCCGAGGTAAATAAGGAATCCAAGTTGAGCAAGATCGTTGGGAGGAACAACATTCCCAGTGGAGCACTTGGCCTCTTACATATTTAAAAGTGCTGTGAGCCTCAATATCGAGGAGGGGAAGGGTCCTGACAGCATGTTGGAGTAGAGAAACCTGTTTGTGGCATGGAGGGGAGAGAGCTGTTGGTGGCAAGGAGGGGAGGGATCTGGAGGTGGTGGCAAGGAGTGGAGCGGGCTGTTGGTGTCAACGAGGGGAAAGAATTGTGTTGGTGTCAAGGAGGGGAAAGAGCTGTATTGGTACCAAGGAGGGGAAAGAACTGTGTAAAGGAGGGGAAAGAATTGTGTTGGTGCCAAGGAGGGCAAAGAGCTGTGTTCGTGTCAAGGAGGGGACAAACCCAAAATATGTAAATTGGGCTGATCAACAACATTGGGAAGTCCAACCAACCCGAGTAGTTGTTCATGCTACTTGTCTTCTATACCTTTCTCTTACGTCGTGAACTAGTAATTATTTTCTATTACCTAGTGTGTTAGTGTTAGCCTTCAATCTCACACTTTGTACTTTGTATTTTCTATATCCTAGAGTAGTGTAGTTTGCACATTGTGTTTGGTTGGGTGTACACCTGTGAGAACTTAGGCTTAGAAGCGATGCATTAGTAATGAGCTTGAAGCTCTTTAAGTACATCCAAGAAGGGGAGGGAATGGATGGGGAAGGGAATCG